GCACCAGCTGTAGTGGATGGGGGCAGAGCTATTCTCAGACTCAAGGCTTGGGTGAGGGACAGTAGCATCCATGGAGAGGCCCTACCATTAGAAGGAGTGTGGCATCCTTTGAACACTGAATGGACCAGAGGCAAACATAAACAGAGCTCATTTAGCAAGGGGCACAGCACGTGACAGAGACAAGGTAAATGTGTACTTCATTCGTTTCATGAGTCCCTGTGATCCTGAGAAAAGCCTTTGCTTCTTTGAACCTCAAGGAGAAACAGAAAAGAGAATAGTCCCAGCACAAAAGACACTTGCCCACCACAATAGGATGGAGGACCAAGGTTTTAACTGCTAATTTCATTACAATATATTGAGATATATTGGAGAGCATCACAGAGTTACTTGCTCTCACTACAAGATGATTTGATGGGTAAAATGCCCCACAATCCACATGTAACTCCCAGAAGTCCAAAAAGTCAAATGAGTAAGAAGAAATAAAAATTGGTTTTTTTCTCCACACACCCTCTGAAGCTGCTGCCCCATGGGGCATCCACTCGACAGGAAGGATCTTCTGGAGATCGTGGGGATGGGAACCACTGGGCTTTGTTCATCAGTTAGGCCAGCACATCGTCAGGGACAGTAGTGGTTGATGGTTTACATGACATTATGACACTGAGACCAGACACATGATTGAAATGACAAACACACACATGTAAAAAGTCATGGGTGCTCTACAGAGAATGAAAGCCGTGGCCATGCATGCAGGATGGGACACTAGCTTACTTCAGCTGAAGGGCAGCCACCTCAGAAGAAGTCAGGAATCTGGCCTGGGACATAGAAACCATGAAAACAAACCTCCAAAATAATTGGGCAAAACTTCCAGCACAAGTGGACAACCAGAGTATAGTGAAGAGCACTGTTCAGGAAATGCAACTAGCAACATACTTTCATCAAAGAAAGATGTCTTATCATAAAAATGTCTTCAGCTACACTGCTAAGCAAAAAGAACAAAGCTGGAATCATCGTGCTACCTGACTTCAAACTATACTACAAGGTTATAGTAGCCAAAACAGCATGATACTGGTACCAAAACAGACATATAGACCAATGGAACAGAACAGAGACCTCAGAAATAACACATCCACAACCATCTGGTCTTCGACAAACTTGACAAAAACAGACAATGGGGAAAGGATCTCCTATTCAACAAATGGTGCTGGGAAAACTAGCTAGCCATATGCAGAAAACTGAAACTGGACCCCTTCCTTACACCTTATATAAAAATTAACTCAAGATGGATTAAAAAATTAAATGTAAAACCTTAAACCATAAATACCCTAGAAGAAAACGTAGGCAATACCATTCAGGACATAGGCATGGGCAAAGACTTCATGATGAATACACCAAAAACAATTGCAACAAAAGCCAAAATTGACAAATGGAATCTAATTAAAGAGCTCTGCGCAGCAAAAGAAACTATCATCAGAGTGAACAGGCAAGCTACAGAATGGGAGAAAAAATTTGCAATCTACTCATCTGACAAAGGTCTAATAGCCAGAATTAATAAGGAACTTAAAGTTACAAGAAAAAAACAAACAACCCTATCAAAAAGTGAGCAAAAGATAAGAACAGACACTTCTCAAAAGAGACATTTATGCAGCCAACAAACATATGGAAAAAAAAGCTCATTATCACTGATCATTAGAGTAATACAATCAAAACCATAATGAGATATCATCTCACACCAGTCAGAATGGCAATTATTAAAAAGTCAAGAAACGACAGATGCTAACAAGGCTGTGGAGAAATAGAAATGCGTTTACACTTTTGGTGGGAATGCAAATTAGTTCAATTATTGTGGAAGACAGTATGGTAATTCCTCAAGGATCTAGAATGAGAAATACCATTTGACTCAGCAATCCCATTACTGGATATACACCTAAAGGATTATAAACCATCCTACTATAAAGACACATGCACACCTATGTTTATTGCAACACTATTTACAATAGAAAAGTCATGGAATCAACTCAAATGCCCATCAATGATACTGGATAAAGAAAATGTGGCACATATACACCATGGAATACTACACAGCCATAAAAGGAATGAGATCATGTCCTTTACAGGGACACGGATGAAACTGGAAGCCATCATCCTCAGCAAACTAACACAGGAACAGAAAACCAAATACCACATGTTCTCACTCATAAGTGGGAGTTGAACAATGAGAACACATGGACACAGGGAGGGGAACATCACACATCAAGGCCTGTTGAGGGGTGGTGGGGGAGGGGAGGGAACATAGAGGGCCGATCAATAAGTGCAGCAGAGCACCACAGCACACCTGTACCTGTGTGACAAACCTGCACGTTCTGCACGTGTATCCTGGAACTTAAAGTAAAACACTTTTTTGTTTTTTGAGACAGAGTCTTGCTCTGTCGCCAGGCTGGAGCACAGTGGTGCAATCTCGGCTCACTCCAAGCTCCACCTCCCGGGTTCAAGCAATTCTTCCACCTCAGCCTCCCAAGTAGCTGGGATTACAGGTGCGTGCCAAATGCCCGGCTAATTTTTGTATTTTTAGTAGAGACGGGGTTTCACCATGTTGGCCAGGATGGTCTCAATCTCTTGACCTCATGATCCACCCTCCTCGGCCTCCCAAAGTGCTGGGATTACAGGCGTGAGCCACTGTGCCTGGCCATAAAATATATTTTTAAAAATTGAAAAATTTTTTAAGTTTTCAGCTGAGCTACTGGTAGCCAAGCATTTACAACTGTCCCTCACCATTCCCCAACTCTGACCGTCTTGATGCCCTCAACCCACTCTTGTGCGAAGGGGCTGGGTGACAGAAGAGTCACCTAGGACAAGAGAAGAGGAAAGTTCCACACATTGGATGACTGTGTTTAAAACTAGATCTAAGAGCCAGACTCAAAAGAATCTAAGTGCCAGGATGTCATGCCTCAGCCTGCACAAATTACAGAAACAAAAAATATAGAGGTTGGCTGGGAGGGAGACCAGTGGAGCTTTATGAACTTCAGGATGGAGTCCTCTCAGGTTGCATCCAGAGCAGAGCAGGTGGAGATGCTCCTATAAGGCTGGTGGCAGTCAGACAGGTCATGTTCAAAGGAGTCAAATAACCTTCGTCCAGTGAGTCCTCAGAGACATCGAGCTCTTCCACCTCCAGCAGCAGCCTGCTGAGTCTGGGGGGTGGAGAAGACTGAAGATAAACAGTAGAGAGAAACAAAACCACAGAGCCCAGCTGGCTCTAAAGGGAGGGCTCCAGGAAAGGACAGAGAAAGGAAAGGGCGGGCCCCTCAGGGAGACAGAACCATCCTTCCCCGTATGGGGCAGAAGAGAGGGAGCAGCAGATGCTCAATGCACTGGGCAGACAGTGGGCTGAGGATGAAGGAGATGGAACAATGCCTGTATGAAATGGCCATGACACACAGTGCACACGGAGAGATATCATGGTGCGTTCAGCACTGTTGCATAAATTGTGTTGAAAGCACCATGCAGTGGCCATATAAACACGGGCTCTTGAGTCATCCCAGAATCTTAGAGATACGATACCCTCAACAACTCTTTTTCTTTCTTTTTTTTTTTTTTTTGAGACGGAGTTTCGCTCTTGCTACCCAGGCTGGAGTGCAATGGCGCGATCTCGGCTCACCGCAACCTCCGCCTCCTGGGTTCAAGCAATTCTCCTGCCTCAGCCTCCCGAGTAGCTGGGATTACAGGCACGCACCACCATGCCCAGCTAATTTTTTGTATTTTTAGTAGAGACGGGGTTTCACCTTGTTGACCAGGATGGTCCCGACCTCTTGACCTCGTGATCCACCCGCCTCGGCCTCCCAAAGTGCTGGGATTACAGGCGTGAGCCACCGCGCCCGGCAACAACTCTTTTTCTCAAGGGTGTAGCATGATACTAATTTTTCATTAACTTTCATGCTATCATTTGCTTGCACACGTGGTAATGCCAAGACACAGGCATCACATACGCATCTCCAATTCACATTAAGCAGTAAGAATCGAAAAGGAGACTGCAGAAAATATCTGTGATAGATCATCAGTTCAGCTGAGTCAACTGGAGACAGATTAGTACAATTGAGATGAACCAATAAGAGGGGATAATACAAACACAGCTATACAATGAAAACAGGCAATGCTAATAATACAAATCTTTCATGACTGTCTGAGCAGATGGAGCAAACATTTAGCACATTCTGCTTTCCCTGCATCTGGCGCCTCCAGATATCCACACTGAATTTACTGTCCACAATTCCTCAGAGTTACCAGGGGCATGATGCTCTTTCACCTCCTCTTGGTCATTTTTAAGTTCCATATAAATAATTTCAGACAAGGAGAGACATATTAAGCAGATCCTACTACACCCATGCACAATCCACCATTCAATCCTAACATAAAGACATCAGTCTCCTCCGTGTGAGAACAGGACGCTGGGAGAACTATTTTGGGAGGCCTGAGGTCCTGTCATGATAGAAATGCCTTGGATTTCCCTGAGCTGAGGGGTAAAATCTCCCTCTTCTCATAGATCATTATCTCAATATGATCTTTCCTGAGACTTTGCAAAAAGTTAAGCAATATTTTTCATGCCAATTCAAAGCCAATACCTCAGATGTTTTCTAGAAAGGAAACTGCAATATGTAGCCTTCTCTCATCAAATACCCAGGTGGTTCGCAGTTTACAGCATTTTAGACACTGAAATGGGAAGGATGGAGGGAATCTACAGACCCTCTAATTAAAATGAATCTCTGTGCTACACAGTAACATTGGCTATTTGTGGCATCTTGGAGTGACAGTGCTCCGTCTCGCTTCCAGAAACATACCAGCAAGGCAATGACCTGCTTAGCTAAAACAAGCCAACATTGAAGACATAGAGAATGGAAACCTTGGTACCATCCTCCACAGAAAGGGAGACAAAGATGCCGCTGGCCCTGGGTAGTCATAGAGCATCAGGGGACATGGTCAGGGAAAGAAATTTACAAGGAACACAATAATAGCTGGCAAGACAAATTTTATTCGAATTAAGACATCTCACACAGACACCTCTTGGAAATACGCTGCACAGGTTGGTGTGAATTTGTCCCATCTGTCTTGGATCCAGTATCCTGACAGTGGGCCCAGGATGACACAGGCATGGCCTGAGGCAAGGAACAGAGCAAAGCTCACTGACCCAACCCATGTCGGTGTTTCAAATTCCACTCTAGAATCTGATTCAAAACAACACGTGTCTATGATTCCTGGGTACATTGATGACATCTCTTAGCCCACTCTGAGGCTCAGAGTACAAGGATTATGAGGTCTACCTGAGACATTGTTGGGATGTTTACCACATTCACTGTGGAGCACTTCTCCCTCATCAGGAGCCAAGCGGACTTGTTCCTCAAATGACTACAAGGTGCTTCTTTAAGACAGATGGGAGCTAGACAGGTCAGCAGGATTTGAAGGAGTCAAACAACATCCATCCCATGACTTTCAGGGGACTTACTGCTCTGCCACCTGTGGCACCTCCCTGCTGAGACTGGTGGGGTAGGTTAGACTGAAGGTCTAAGGTTGATCCAAGGGGGTCAGGGACCACAGACTCCTAGATGGATTTGACGGAAGGCATAAGGCAGCAGTTGCAGAAAACAAAGGGGCTGACCAAATAAAAGGTACAAATTCAAGTCATCCCAGCACTTTGGGAGGCCGAGGCGGGTGGATCATGAGATCAGGACATTGAGACCATCCTGGCTAACAGGGTGAAACCTGTCTCTACTAGAAATACAAAAAATTAGCCAGGCATGGTGCTGCGCACCTGTAGTCCCAACTAGTCAGGAGGCTAAGGCAGGAAAATCACTTGAACCCAGGAGGTGGAGGTTACAGTGAGCCGAGATTGCACCACTGCACTCCAGCCTGGGCAACAGAGCGAGACTCCATCTCAAAAAAACAAAAGGTACACATTATTCTCTTCTTGGTGGGATGACAGAGTGTGGCTGCCATCAGATGTTGGGAGAGACAGAAAGATTGAGAGAGACAGAGATAGCTTGTGTTCGGTGAATTGCCCAGATTAGAAACTCACAGGAAAAGAGAAACAAAACTCTCGTATCTTGACATAATGTGGAGTTGGGTTTTTTTTTCTTAAGTTTCTTCTCTTGTGATCAAATAGTTGGCAACATGCCAACACCAAACAGGTATCTCAGCCTGGATTTAACCACGTGGAAGAAGACAGGTGATATAAGGAAATCCATGAGTTTGGTGAGTTCTCGAGTCAACTGATCATAGGTTACTATGCTTGAGAGAGATTAAGCAACTGAAACCAGACTGAGGCAGAAGGATCCCTGGAGCCAGGGAGGTCACGGCATGGCTCATGCAGTGAGCCATGATGAGATACCACTGTACTCCATCTGCATGACTGAGTGAGACCCTGTCCCAAAAAAGAAAAGAAAGAAAGAAATTGAAATCTGTATGAGTACTACAGTAAAAGAGAAAACAGTGTTCAAAAGAATAATTTGTAGATGACTGAATGGATAAAATACTCCTATTCATAATTTCCTATTTTTCACTGGATCTTTAGCCTCCAGAAGTCACTATTGAACTAAAACTAACACTCCACAAATCAGAGTTACCTGGGAGACACTGGCGGCTTCCCTTGCTCTTCATTATCATTTGATTTTCTGCAAATAAATTCAGAAGAGCAGGTCACATTAAGCAAATCATACTCCACACATGACCAAATCAGTGCCCAATCACAGCACAAGGACATAAACATTCTCAGCATAAGAATATGGTATTCTCACAGGAAGAGTCTAGGATGCCCTAGGTTAAGTCTTGGGAGAAGCAGATGGGCCGACTTTCCAGATCTATGGGGCCGAATCTTCCTCTTCTGGTTCATCATAATTCCATATCCTCTCACCTGAGTCTGTTAAACAAAAGTTTTCCCCCAAGATCTTAGACATTGGGCTAATTTCTAAGGTGTTGCTGTGATATTGACTTGTCTCATCAGATGTCATGGTTGTTGAACATTTAGAGGAATTTACACACGAGACTGAACTAATGCAAATATTCTAAAAACCCTCGCATAAAAAGGATTCTGCGGTATTACACAGAAATACTGCCCAAGAGTGGGGTGGAGAACTCAGAGCCCTGCCTGAAGTGCTCATGTCCTGGTTTTGAGGTGCTAACCTAACACGAGCCAACTTAAAGGAGATAGAGACCGGGGCTGACAGCAGTGAAACCAGGATAATGACATCTCCAAATCTATAGGCAAGGCTGCCAATGGCTTTGGTCAGGCATAGATACTCCAAGGACATTGTTCAGATACATAAATTACATCCCCGCAGGGCACAATAGGCATCGGATCCAAAACCAGAGGTCTGACAGCTGCCTTCTGTATACCTCCTGTACATAGGTGGGTATGAGTTTATCACACCTGCCTGGGGTCCAATAACCTGATACAGGGGCCAGGGAAACTAAGGCAGGGCATGAGTTGAGGATGAGAGGGAAACTCCCTGACTCACCTGATATCTGTGTTTAATATTTAATCCTACTTCCTGATTCAAACCAATATGTATCTATAGGGCCTGTCTTCAGAGTTGACCTTTCTCAGCCCAGGCAAAAGTACAAAGGACAAAGCATATAGAGGCTACATGGCAGAATGCTTAGTGCTTCTTCCTCCTCTTCGTAATGTGAGGATTCACTGCCTACATCCAGAGCAGAGTTGACTTCCTCTTCATCAGATGTGATTTTGGCTCTCCTCTGAGGCTGGTCGGAGTCAGAAGGATCATGGCAAATTGAACAAGTGGTAGAATATTCCTCCAGCCAGTTCTGAGGGACTTCCTTTCTTCAGCCTCCTGTATCTCCCTGATGAGCCAGACAGATAAAGACGACAGAGGTGACAGAAAATTAAACCAAGATGGATTGGACCCCAGGGAGTTTTAGAGGATTTTGACAGGAGGCATAAGAGAGTGGTCCCAAAAAAGCAAGGGACAGCTCCCTTTCAGAGGGAACAGGCAATCCTCCTCTCTCTGCAACAGAGTGTGGCTGCCATGGGGTCCAGAGAAGAAGAGAGCAGCTGGTGCTCATTGCACTGGACAAATAGGATCTGTGGAGTGAGGAGACTCAGCTAGAGCAGCTGGAGCTCACCGCACTGGGCAGGTAGGATCTGTTGGGGAGGAGACTCAGCTAGAGCAGCTGCAGCTCACCCCACTGGGCAGTAGGATCTGTAGGGGAGGAGACTCAGCTAGAGCAGCTGGAGCTCACCGCACTGGGCAGGTAGGATCTGTGGGGGAGGAGACTCAGCTAGAGCAGCTGGAGCTCACCCCACTGGGCAGTAGGATCTGTGGGGGAGGAGACTCAGCTAGCCCTTTATGGTACAGATGTGACACACAGAACACACAGGGAACCCTGACAGCTGCTACACCATGTGGCTAAATTGGGTTGAATTTAACATACTGTGACCAAGGGAATACAGGCTGAGCCACTGTAGGCTCCAAAGATGGTTTGCCTTCAAGGTCTTCTAATACTGTGAAATGAAAAGTGAGTACTTTTGGTCTAGGTCCTTTTCTTGGTGTGTAACTTTGCTAGTTACTTCCTAAATCCTCTCCTTGTTAACTCTTTGCTATTTATCTTACTTAACAAGAACCTAAATGACAACTGTGTAGGAAGGAGATAAACATCTTCTTCTAGTTTTCATTGCAGAAGAGAATAGTCCTAGTCAGTGTGTGCAGGAAACCCCTAAGGCTAGTAAGTTCGCCTTAAGGTCATGCTTACACATACCACAGAGAAAACAGACAACCATGTTAACAGGGCTATTTCATTGTTGAATGAGTGCATCAGATCACTGCAATCTACAGTTTTGCTCATCCTTGTATCTGGAATCCATGACTACCATCACCTCCCTTGTGTTCTTTCTGAGATCGTTTCCATATTTTACCTTCCCATTACTGGCTCCTGATTATTCGTTGTTCCCTGGGAGCAAGTGGTTCTTCAACTTTTTCAGCCTCCTCATCTTTAGCATCCTCATCCTCAACTTCATTTTCTGCAAACAAAGGCAGTAGCGTCCATTCGGATACTTCCCACTTCACCCACTGCAAACACAGTGAGCTGTATGAGCACAGAGACATGTAGCATCCTCATCCTCAACTTCATTTTCTGCAAACAAAGGCAGTAGCATCCATTCAGATACTTCCCACTTCACCCACTGCAAACACAGTGAGCTGAGTGAGCACAGGGACGTGAACACCGATGTACAAGTGAGTGCTGCACTGAAAGCTCTCGTGCTTTGTCTTTACGTCCCATGTTTTCTGCCCTGCCGTGGTTTCCTGATCCATCAGGCAATGGGTTTCTGATCTGGAGAGTGACCATCATGACACGGCCAAAAATTAAAACAACCTTTTCCCCTCCATCACTGGAGGCTTGTCCAGCTTCTCTCTGGACTTCGGCAGCTGTCTCCACCATTTGGACATAGATCTGATTCCCAGGAACAGTCTCTTTGTCCCCTCACAGCTCTCACTAAAACCAATTTCTTTCCTTAGGAGAGGACAAACAACCCCGGTCCCTACCTCCAAGTGGTTATCCTGGGAAATTCTCTCCACAGAGCATTCCAGTCTTAACAACTTTCCCAAAACCACATGCTACCACATCAACCACCTTATCTAACATCGCACAGTGAGGGGCTTTGTCTTATTCTGAAATGCACTCATGCATGTTCCCACATTTGAATGCTAGATCTACCAGGCATTAGATACTTTGTCCCCTTTTCCAGTTAGACAGACATCCAGGAAGGATAAATGGCTGGCCTACAGTTACTGAGATATTGCTGAGGAGAGAACCTGGGAACTTCCATCCTTAGTCCAGGGCTCTCTTCACTCTAACAAGCTGCCTCCTGTCACATCCTCCTTCCTGTCCTTTAAAACTGGATGGATGCTGCCTCTTGCTCCAAAGACCAGTTCTATCAAGGAGAAAAGATGCTTTAGCAATACCATCACCTCCAACCCTGGCTTTCTCATCTCTCTTCCTACACAGGAAGTCCTGGTCATGTCATGGCACTAAGGTTTAGTGGAAAGAAAGACCACCAACATAGTTGTCATTTGTGCAGGTGTGGAGGTCTGGAGTCTTCTCACAAGCCTGGGACGTTGCATCATCAGGGCCTGTGACCACCTTACCTGGCTGAGCTTGCGGACAAGACACTCTGCCAGCCTGTACCCCTCAGCCAGCTGTTCTTGGAGGTCCTGCCCCTCTTGGTTGTCAGGGTCATCATCAGTGAGTAGGGCCTTCAGATGCTGAGTGAGTAAGAGGGAGGCATCTCTTCCGTCCTATAACCTGGTCCTTACCTGAAGAGTGAACGAGGGCTTTGTATCACCTAAGGTAGGATAGTAGAGAAAATATGAGTGCAGAGGAATGAGTGATCAGTACTAAGAATTGCAACAGATTTCTGTGAGAATATCCTCAAGGAGCCCTCCAAGCAGAATTTTAGCACCTGTTTGGTGAAATGCCCCTGAAAAGGAAAAAAAGTTTTAATTAAAGGCTTTCTCTGTATTAAAGTGCTTCTATAAGGTTCTTCAAAATTCCATTCCTCATTTTCCTCTGTAAAGAAATCCAGATGCCTTACCAAATTTGTTTCAGAAAGATGTCCCTTTAGTTTCTCACTTTGGCCATGGACATTTCCATGTAAAAATACATGGCCAGGCATGTGTAATCCCAGCACTTTCAGAGGCTGAGGTGGGTGGATCACGAGGTCAAGAAATGGAGATCATCCTGGCCAACATGGTGAAACCCCGTCTCTATTAAAAATATAAAAAATTTAGCCAGGCATGGTGGCACGCACCTGTAGTCCCAGCTACTCGGGAGGCTGAGGCAGGGGAATCACTTAAGAACCTGGGAGGCGGAGGTTGCAGTGAGCTGAGATTGCGCCGCTGCACCACTCCAGCTTGGCAACACAGCAAGATTCCTATTCAAAAAATAAAAAATAAAATACACACAGTATATTATGCAGTGACTGGACACAAAGCCACACACAGAAATGTGGCCAGGTACAGTTGAGGCAATTCAGAGAAATAAAAGAATAAAAGAATGACAGGGTCAAGAAGATAACACTCTTTGAATGAAAGAATGAGAAGCCAGTAAGTCAGGAGGTGATTCTAGGAATAAAGAAAATGTGGTACTTACTTACAATGGAGTACTATGCAGCTGTAAAAAAAGAATGGTATGTTTTCATTCGCTGCAGCATAGATGGCACTGGAGGTCATTATGTGAAGTACAATTAGCCAGGCACAGAAAGACAAACATCACGTGTTCTCACTTATTGGTGGGATCTCAAAATCAAAACAATTGAACTCATGGTGATAGTAGAAGGATAGTTACCAGAGATGGAGAAGGGCAGTGGGTTGAGAGTACGGGGATAGTTAATGGGGGCAAAAAAAGTAGAATGAGTAAGACCTAGTATTTGACAGCACAACACTGTAACTATTGCTAATAATTTCATTGTACATTTAAAAATAATGAAAAGTATAATTGGATTCTTTGCAACATAAACAACAAATGTTTGAGGAGATAGACACCCCATTTTACATGATGTCACCATTGCCCATTGCACGCCTGTACCAAAATATCTCATGCACCCCACAAATATATATGCCTACTGTGTACACACAAACATTAAAAGGAAACATTCAAAAAGAGAAATTGTGGTGGTGATTACACATTTTGAGTGTACTAAATGCTGCTGAGTGCTCACTTCCCTTTGGTTAAGTTTGTTATGCACGTTTTGCCTTGTAATGACTTGTTTTGAATAACAAGTATAGCCCATAATTTACTAGTATTGTTGTTCTCTAAATGTTGTATAAATGTTTGTGTGACATGTGCCTGCTATGTAAATTCCTGCCCTTCTCCTGGCCCAGGTAAGCCAGGAGAATTCAATTCAGCTAGATCTCCAGCTGAATTGCCCCCCTTCAGAGACTCACACACCTTCCCACCTCCCTGCCCTGCCACACAGAGCCTCACGCACCGGAGCTCCTCAGCTGGTGTCGACTTTTCTGCCAGCTTCTCCGCCTTGAACTGCGTCTTCTCCCCCAGCACAGGTTCTGTGATGTCTGTGCTTCTCACACTCTGAGAAAAGACAGACACACCTGTCTCGGTGGGAGGCTGGACATGCTGCTGTGGCCACTGCCTACAGGGGAGGAGGCAGGGCCCACCCAAAGGACACAAGGATCCCAGTACCAGGCTCTCGGCGGCACGTGATGCTGTCACTTATGGGTACCAGAGTTTCTGCCAGGAGCAGCCTCCTCTTTGGGCTCCTATAAAGCAGGTGCTCTGTGCTACCATCGCTTCTCCCAGTGCAGCCGGCACAGAGCTCTGCCTAGTGGGCCTCCACAACTTTACCAGCCTCCCAAATACAAGGCAGCTGATACTCCCCAATTTACGGACGAGGAAAGAGAAACTCAAAGGCACCTAAAGTAACTAGAAAACATGACGCAACCGGAATGAGGCAGAGTCAGAATTCACATCCACTATGGTGCGACCCTGAATCATGGGCCACTTTACCAAGACTTGCGGCCTCTCCTGTGAAACACTGGGCTGAAACATAAAGCAGTGATTAACTGTACCATCGAGAAGGCCTCTAATACAGGACTCATGGTTCTCTTGTACTGGGAATTCTAAGCACAAATATCACCAAGATTTAAAAAAATCAGGCTGGGTGCGATGGCTCACGCCTGTAATCCCAGCACTTAGGATGGCTGAGGTGGGCAGATCATGAGTCAGGAGTTTGAGACTAGCCGAACCAACATGGTGAAACCCCATCTCTCCTAAAAATAACAAGAATTAGCTGGGAATGGTGGTGCGCGCCTGTAATCCCAGCTACTCAGGAGCCTGAGGCAGGAGAATCACTTGAAACTGGGAGGTGGAGGTTGCAGGGAGCTGAGGCCACGCCACTGCACTCCAGCCTGGGCAACAAGAGTGAAACTCCATCTCAGGAAAAAAAAAAATCATATCTGGATTAGGTTAAGCAAAATATGAGGCCTAAGACCATAAGGCCCTGAAGGAAACATGCCCAAATGCTAGTAAAATTTCTGTTAATTAGAAATCGTAGAATGGAGAACTAACAAATAGGTTTTGCTCTGTGCCAAGAACTGTTCTAGGGGATTTAAAAGAACAAGGTCCTGTACTTTAAGGCAGCAATTTGCAAAGGTAGGAATTATAGTACCCTATTAACAGATGAGGAGACTGAGGCAAAGAGAAGACAAACAACTTGGATTGGAGCCCAGGAGACGAGCCTGGGGTCCCTGCTCTCCACACTGCGCTTGACCTCAGCAAAGTCTTGGCCACTCTCTCTCTCCACGAAGCAGGACTTCCCTCTTAGCAGGGCCGCCCCTGCTCCTGATGCCATCACTTACAGATGCCACAGGTTCTACTCAGAGCAGACTCCTTGTTGAGCTCCTGGAAAGCAGAGACTGTGAACTATCACCATCTGTCCCCCAGTGTCGCCAGTACAGGGCTTTGCCTATTGGGCCTCAACAGACGCTTAAATTCTGCAGGATTTTATATGGTACAGAAAGGATCCCGGTAAAAATGGTTCAGCTGTTACGGAGAAAAACAGGAAGTTTGTGCCCGCATCAGGCATCAATAACTGGGGTTTTAACTCTAACCCACCCTACACCTCACCGCAAATGTGGATAAACCGCTACACAGTCTGTTCCAGTTTTTCAATCCTCAGCAAAACGAGATTAAAATATCTACTTCTACCTTCCTGGGAGTATGGGAAGGATGAAGTGTATTTTGATGAAGAGAAGAAAGGAATCGGGTCTAAAGAGTGTTTACCTTCCCAGAGAGAAGACAGTGATCATTCACCACTTTGGTGAGAGTGAACCTAGAGAACTTACTGTATTTCTTTAGCTGGTTGGCCAGACAGTAGGCAGCAGCTTCAGAGACAAGAAATCTCGGGCCGGGTGCAGTGGCTCACACCTGTAATCCCAGCACTTTGGGAGGCGGAGGCGGGTAGATCACGAGGTCAAGAGATCAAGACCATCCTGGTCAACATGGTGAAATCCTGTCTCTACTAAAAATACAAAAAATTAGCTGGGCATGGTGGCGCGCGCCTGTAATCTCGGCTACTCAGGAGGCTGAGGCAGGAGAATTGCCTGAATCCAGGAGGCGGAGGTTGCAGTGAGCCGAGATTGCGCCATTGCACTCCAGCCTGGGTAACAAGAGCGAAACTCCGTCTCAAAAAAAAAAAAAAAAAAACCGATCTGAAGGCTTTTCTACAATTGGAAGATGTCAAACTTTTAGCTGCCATGAGGTTCTGTTCTGGGTCTTCTGCAGTTTCTTCTGTATCCTCTAAAAGGTGTAGGACCAATAGCAGAATATAATACTACGTGAGTGAATAATTCATCTTCAGAATGTTTTCTGTCTCAGCACTCTTCTGTGCCATCCCATTGTTACACTGACTCCCACTACTGGGGTAGCATGTGGCTTTTCATTATGCCTAAGACCCGTTTGACATCCCTCCCTCTGAAGCTCTTCCCCTCTGCGTGGGTTGGCTTGTTTTAATGTCTCTAAACACTCCATTTCCTGCTAGTCAGTTACGGACGTCCTGCTAGTACCACAGAGCTGTTTCCAAGTGATCGAATGATTTCCGTGTAGCTCCTGAAAACATGAACTGACCACCTATCTTGGGCAGTCTTGTAAACCCAAGGCTGTTTTATTGTTTTCATTTCACTCCCCCATCTATTAAACAGAACAGGGCCCACGTGCTGTTTTTACGGAATAGTGCTTGCTAGATGTTTTTATAGGTTGGCCTGACCCCGTTGACCTGTGGTTGTCTTCCACTAAAAGAACATGGTGAGACCAAGGTCATGGTCAGGGTGGCTGGTGGTCTGCAGGGTCCATGGGCAGTAGAAGGTGAGGTTGAGGTAAGAGGTACAAGCAGGGGAGAGTGATCTCCTGAACCACCCCCTCACTTTCCCAGCCTCAGTCCCCACCCAGGTTTTGTGAGCCTGAGACTTGGAAGACGGCCCTCCTTGGGGGCCTGCAGCCCGGGCCAGCAGGTGAGGAACAAGCATCCGTCTCATACCCTTTTCCTGGTAGCGCTTGCCCCCAGCCCTTGGCAGTGGCAGTCCACACACCACCCTTACCACAGCTGCAAGAACCCTCACCCAGCTGGCAACCAAGTCTCAGTGGCAACCCGTGCCTAGTTCATGTCCCAGTCTCCATTCCAGTGGTATTTCCTTCCTGGCACCAGCAGCCTCACTTTTTAGCCCTGGCTGTAGGAGCATTCTCAGCTCACTCTGCAGGCCCAACAATGACAGCCCAAATTTCCAAAATGCTTCTGTCCTGGTGCACTGGGCCCCAGGATAGCATGCAGTCTCCCAAAGGCTGGGTTTGAAAGTGGCAGCTTGCTGTAGCTGCTTAGTTTTCAGAAAGGGTATGGAACACAGCTCAAGCTTCCTCCCCGGGGCAGCTCTGTCCCATGGTCTCACACTAGCTGCCTATGTTAGCCTCAGGGGTTGGCAGGGTTCAGGGTTCTCCTGTGGCTGGGACAGCAAGATTCCACAGAGGAGATGTGAGCTGCTCTGTCTCTCACTCACCTATGCTGGGAAGTCACTCCTGGCTCACAGCTGATCCTGACCAGTGGCGTACGTCTCTCCCTTCTCCTTCACTGACAGTGTTTCCTGTCCCTTCTCTGTTGAATTCCAGTATTCTCTCTTGGGTTATGTATTTGAAGTGTGACTGTTTCCTCACCATCTTGTTCTTCTACATGGGGGAGGCAGGAAAAAAATGCTTCTAGTCAGTCATCTTGAAGCCTTTAGTCAAGGATTTTTCAATTTATTTTTTCTAGGTATCACAGTAATTTTAGAGCTGCAGTAGTAATAATAAACTTAAGATTCAGAATATATGCCAGGTCATCATCAACCCTGTAGCTGGGGATTTTAAAAAGCCATTGGCCGGGTGTGGTGGCTCATGCCTATAATCCCAGCACTTTGGGAGGCAGAGGCAAGGAGATCATGAGGTCAGGAGTTTGAAACCAGCCTGACCAACATGGTGAAATCCTCTCTCTACTAAAAATACAAAAATTAGCAGGGTGTGGTGGCACATGCCTATAATCCCAGCTACTTGGGAGGCTGAGGCAGGACAATCGTTTGAACCCAGGAGGTGGAGGTTGCAGTGAGCCGAAATCACACTATTGCACTCCAGCCTGGGCAATAGAGCAAGATTTTGTCTCAAAAAAAGAAAAGAAAAGAAAAGCTATGAAAAGCAGAGAAAATTAAACCTAAAGTAAATAATAAAGAATGAAAATCAATAAAAAAGTATAATCAATAAAATTGATAAACCTCCTGGTAGACTGATTTAGAAAAAAGAGAAAAGTTGCAAGTGACCAGTTTCAGAAATGAAAGAGAATTCTTTCACCACAAGTACTACAGACATGCAAGGATAATAAAGGAATATTGAAACAATTTTATGATAATAAATTTGACAAGTTAAAAAGGAAGATTCTGGCCAGGTGCAGTGGCTCACACCTATAATCCCAGCACTTTGTGGGAGGATTGCAGGAGTTTAAGACCTGCCTGAGCGACACGGCAAAACCCCATCTGTACAAAAAAAAAAAGATTATTTGAAAGAGACATATTATTAACATTGACACAAAAAGAAGTACTAAATCTGAAGGGCCCTATATTTTTAGGTAAATTGAATTTTAACTTAAAATTTCCACAAAGGAAACATCTAACTAAGATGGTTTCACTGGTGAACTTGATCAAATATTTCAGGAGCATATAATACCAAAACCATAACATGCATGTAAAACATTTGCCAAAATTCAAGACAAACCTGCACATTCCTTTAAAATATTCCTCCCCACCTCCAGCGAGAAATGAAAGGGAAATTTCTTAGCCTGATGGAGGGCATATTCACACACACAGTCTTAGTGATAAAAAGCTGACTCTAAGATCAGGAACAAGGCAAGGATTATTGCTCTCCCCACTTCTAGTCAACAGTATACTAGACATTCTAGCCATTGCAGTAGGGCAAGAAAATGAAATAAGATGCTTACAGGTTAAAAAGGAGGAAAAACTGTCTGTTTTTATAGCTGATATGACATGATGGATAGATACCCTATATATCCTGCTAGTACAAAATACTACCATACCTAGTAAGTGCATTTAATAAAGTTGCAAGACACAAAATTCAAACCAAAATTTATTTTTATGGCTGGGTGTGGTGGCTCATGTCTGTAATCCCAGCACTTTGGGAGGCCGAGGCAGGCAGATCACAAGCTCAGGAGATCCAGACCATCCTGGCCAACACAGTGAAACCCCACCTCTACTAAAAATATAAAAATTGCCAGGCATGGTGGCAGATGCCAGTAGTCCCAGCTACTTGGGAGGCTGAGGCAGGAGAATCACTTGAACCCGGGAGGTGGAGATTGCAGCAAGCTAAGATGGTGCCATTGTACTCCAGCCTAGTGACAGAGCAAGACTCTGTCTCAAAAAAGACTCATTTTTATATGTTAGCAACGAAAAATTCCATATACTGTAGACTATTCCTATATGCCAGTAAAAACAATTGAAAATATGAAGAACTTTTCCAACAGCATCAAAACAATTAAATGTGTACAAATGGCCAATAAGTACATGAAAAGTGCTTAACATCACTAGTCATTAGGAAAACACAAATCAAAACCACAATGAAATTTCACTCACATCATAAAAAAGAAAGGGAAAGAAAAGAAGAGAAGAGAAAATAAAAATAGCAAGTGTTGACAAGGATGTAGAGAAACCCGATCCCTTGTGCATTACTGCCAGGAATGTAAAATAGTGCAGCTACTGTGGAAAACAGCGTGGTGCATCCTGAAAACAGACTTGCCATAGGATTCAGCAATTTTACTTCTAGGTATATACCCCAAAAATGGAAAGGATGGACTCAAACAGATATTTGTACATCAGTGTTCATAGCAGCATTAATTACAATCGCCAAAAGAAAACTCAAATGTCCATTGTTGGAGGCATGGATACAAAGATGTGGTATATAAGCACAGCGGGACGTTATTCAGCCTTGCTACAATGTGAATGAACCTTTAAATTAAAAGCATTAAAACATTAACTACTAACATATTACACTAAGCAGAATAAGGCAGACACAAGAGGACACATGTATGATAGCACTTATATGAAAAACCTAGAATAGGTAAATTCATAGAGACAGAAATGATAGTGGTTTTCAGGGGCTGGGGAGAGGAGAGAACAGGAGTTATTGTTTAGTGAGTAGAGTTTCAGCCTAGGATGATAAAAACGTTTTGGAAATGTGTGGTGGTGATGGTAGCATCATACTGTGAATATACCTAATGCTACTGAATTTGATCTTTGTATGTTAGCAACAAATAACTCGGCATACCATGGAATATTCCTATATGCTAGTAAAAACAATTGAAAGAATGAAACGTTTTTCCACTTAAAAATGGTTAAAATGGCCGGGCGTGGTGGCTCACGCCTGTAATCCCAGCACTTTGGGAGTCCGAGCGGGTGGATCACGAGGTCAAGAGATCGAGACCATCCTGGTCAACAAGGTGAAACCCCGTCTCTACTTAAAAATACAAAAAATTAGCTGGGCACGGTGGCGCGTGCCTGTAATCCCAGCTACTCGGGAGGCTGAGGCGGAATTGCCTGAACCCAGGAGGCACAGGTTGCGGTGAGCCGAGATCACGCCATTGCAGTCCAGCCTGGGTAACAACAGTAAAACTCCATCTCAAAAAAAAAAAAAAAAGGTTAAAATGATAAATGTCCTACATTTTATCACGAAACTATTTTTTTGGACAGAGTCTCACTCTGTCACCAGGCTCCAGGCTGGAGTGCAGTGGCGCGATCTCGGCTCACTGCAACTTCCGCCTCCTGAGTAGCTGGAACTACAGGCGCACACCAGAACGCCCAGCTAATTTTTTGTATTTTTTAGTAGAGACGGGGTTTCACCATGTTGGCCTGGATGGTCTCCATCTATTGACCTCGTGATCCGCCCGCCTCGGACTCCCAAAGTGCTGGGATTACAGGCGTGAGCCACTGTGCCCGGCCCACAAAACTTTTTTTTTTTTTTTTTTTAATCAAACAATTTAACAAAATACGTGTAAGACATGCACTAAAAACTACAAAACTTTGCTAAGGGGAATAAAACGAACTAAGTAGAGCACTGTCCTGTGTTTATGGAGTTACCCTCATTGGTACATAGAGATCTTCCTCATTCTTTTTTGTCATGTAGAGGCATCATAATCTATTACATCTGTCCTGTATTAATGGATATTTGCTTTTCCCCAAGTACTTTGCTATTACCAAGAACTTCACAATAACTTACTTCATACATACGTTGTCTTACGTGTTGGAACTGTCTCTCGTGCAGATCCCTATTGGAATGGGTAAGTCATGCTCATATTTAGTTTTGTTAGATGTTGCCTCGTTTCCCTCCCTAGCAGTTTCACAAAATTGCACTCCTACCAGAAATATACATGAATGCCTATTGCTCCACAGCCATGGTAACGCAGACTTTTATCAAACTTTTTTTTGTCAGTAAGCATTTTAAAATATGCTTAACGTGTATTTGCATTTTTTCTGATACATATACTTTTTTTTTGAGACGAAGTGTCACTCTGTCACCCAAGCTAGATTGCAGTGGTGCCATCTCAGCTCACTGCAAGCTGCGCCTCTCCCAAGTAGCTGGTATTACAGGTGTCTGCTACCACGCCCGCCTGATACACATACTTTTTATATACTTTTTTTTTTTTTTTACAGAGAGGGTCTCATGTGTTGCACAGACTGGAGTACAGTGGAGTGATCGCAGCTCACTGCCGCCTTAAACTTGTGGGCTTAAGCAGTCCTCCTGCCTTGGCCTCCTAAGTGGCTGGGACTACAGGTGTGCCCTACCACACCCAGCTAATATTTTCCATTTCTTGTAGAGATGGGTTTTGCTATGTTGCCCAAGCTAGTCTTGAACTCCTGGGCTCAAGCAATCGTCTCACTGAGGCTGGGACTGCAGGTGCCAGCCACTGCACCCTGCTCATCCCCACTTTTTTTGTTTTTGACAATTTTTCTTTTGAGTTTCTGGTTTTTTTCTTTTTACCTTTTTGAGAGTCTTTTATAAGTTAGAAAGATTAGTCTTTTGTCTTTGAGGTAAATTGCAACTTTTTCTCCCAGTTTGCCATTTGTTTTTTGATTTCTCTTAAACCTTTTTCTTTTTACCATGACAAAAATAGAATTTGACTTTTATGTAGTCAAATAAATGAATCTTTATATTTTTGGCTTCTGGATTTTGAGCCATGAGAGGCTTTCCCCACTCCCAGACTATAAATGAATTCTTCCATGTTTTCTCCTAGGACTCGTATGGTCTGACTCTTTCACATTTAGCCCTCTGATCCTTTTGGAATTTACTGTGTATGGGACATGACTCGTCTGTATTTTTCCAGATTGCTATCCAGTTTTCCTAATATTATATATTAAAATGTCCATATTTTTCCTGTTTCAAAACAGTATTTCTCAAATACTACATGTCCACATATAGTTTTTTATGTTGGGATTTACTATTCTATTGATTTGTCTATTCTTGAACCAATACCAAATTTTTTTATATACAGGGTCTTGCTCTGTCATCCAGGCTAGAGTGCAGTGGCACCAACATAGCTCTCTGTAGCCTCAACCTCCTGGGCTCAAGTGATCCTCCACCCTCAGCATCCCACATACCTGAGACCAGAGGCATGTGCCACCACACTCAGCTAA